AAAAAAAAAAAAAAAAGGGATTACCCTGTTTATGTGCTATGATGTAGTCAGGGGTTTCTTGTTGAGGAAATTAATCAACAAAAACTATAAAAGAAGGTAGTTGGTCATACCTACAAAGCCTAATAATAAAAGTTAATAACCTTAGCTCCAAACAAGCTTTCAACTTATTAGGTTAATTCTTATGTCCTAAAGGTAATTTTTTAACCAATTGAACCATACTCTAAAATACAACATCAAAAGACAGATTGGTCAAAATATCAGGGTCCAGCTAATCTTAACTGAAATACAGGCAAATTTTTTAAAATAAAAAGAAAACAATTTTCATTAAAACTTAGCATAAGATAATTTAGATGAATGTCTTTGTGATTTTTCTCTGTGGTGAGAAAGTTAACTTTGGCTCTCCATTAATAACCTGCCTGTTTTCTCATTTTACTGAATTGCTACTAATCCATTACCAATGACAGTTTATAAGGCACATTGTTTTCCTTCTGCTTTCACTAAGATAGAGCACCTTTGATGTTTCTTTGGCTATCGTTCCTTACCATCTTGTCTGCCACCTCACCAAGATCTCCATGGTTCAATCTAGTTTTCTAAAGGCTATAACTATTTTAAATTAAAATTCCAAGATATTAAAATGGAACTCTCATCTCTCTGAAAGTGCTTTTGTATCACTAAGCAGATCGAAAGAGTGCTGATCTTCTCATTATTCTTTTTGTATTTCTGGAGGGTAAAACTGAACCATTCTGCCACCCAAAGGATAAATAATGTGGCCATTTGCAAAATGCATGTTATAGAGTTTGTGATACATGGAAAAGACTGAGTTAACAATGAAGGCCTAATCTTTGCAAAAATGAAACCTGATTGATACAGGAAAGCCATTCTCCTGGGACCAGCAGCATTAACATCACCTGGGAAGATGGCCCCACCCCAGATCTAAAGCAGAAATTCTGAGGGTTCTCATACAAATGCTGAGAGTTTTCATCCAATACACACAGAGTGTCTTGCCGCGTTCCAAGCACCATATGAGTGACTGAGGTTACAAAGATGAAGAAGACAGAGTCCACCTGCACAGGCAACTCCCTGTCTATTGGTTATATTTTCACCTGTATGAGCAAGTAAATATGTCTCCTGGGCTGGGATTTTCTGCTGGACTAAGAAAATTCATTTTGCATAGTAAGGCTGAAAATAGCATCAGAGTCAAATCATCCTGTCATTTTTGACTAATCATCAGAGCCATGTCCTGAATTTAACAAACATGACTTCTATTTTTTTTCCTGATGATGTATGATATTCAGTTGTATGTAAGTCAGGATAAAGGAAGCAGAGATTTAGTGGCATTGAAGAAAAAAGAAGAAATAGAGAAAAAACATAGTTTGCAGCAAGAATGACTGATGAGGCGTTAAAAAGAAAGAAAAATATCATTTGTAACATTTACTTCAATCACTGAACAAAGTTCTAAATATTCCCAAAAAGTACCCAAAGTGGAGGCTAATAAAGGTGCTAAAGAATAGAAATAATTGATCTAGTATCACTCTACATTAGTTAAATCCTTGATTCTTTGATAAAGAAATGGGAGTCAGCTACACAGAAGGATGAGAACCCAGCATGGTGACTGGAATCCTCCAGGACTGTCTTCAGGGAGATCTGAATGGTCCCTTAACCTTTTCTCTATCCCAGTATTGTCAAAGCACACCTTATTAAAACGACGTCAGCTCATTGAGTTGGAAGCCTCTGTATTTTCCTACTCTTGTGTAATGCCAGCTTCTTAGTTGGTGGGATTTAGCAATGAGATAACTAGTGGGAAAGCAAGAAATTTTATGTTTTTTTCTTTGATATCAGACTGCCTATTAAAATAGATATCAAATATATATTAGGAAATATTGCCTATGTCATTTTGAAAAAGATTGTTGCTAAAGAACGCGTACATTGAACAACTCCTTCTCTTGCTGTATAAAATGAATTTACCAAACTTCTCTATATTAAGCAAATCAACTTACCTTCGAAGGTGGAGGAAAGCCGTGTAACACTGCTTGCGGAACTCTTGGTACTGTTCGCTCTGTGTGCCCCCCATTCCTTCTACCATTTCTTTATTCAGCTTCATTGGAGGAGGAAGGGGCTTCGGATCCCGACCCAAAATATATCCAAAGTCTATGTGGAAGAGTTTGCCTGGATGTTGACAAGAAACTCATTTGTTTCCAGAATTATCTTAAAGAACTAGATAGGGGATATGTCGCACTCCTGGTATAAGCAGCGTCTTTTCATAAAGCATATTAGTTCATGATGAACCTATTAAATTGTTTGATCATCTAACTCCAGGTTTGAGAGGGGCCTTCAAAGCATATTTTAGTTCATTTTAACTCATATTCAGATGAAACTATGCCTAAAAGCATCCCATTGTAATATTAATTTAAAAATTTAAATCCTATTTTTAGGTCTCCAGAATCAAAGACTGCCAAAGCCTGGATAGCTTTTTTTTTTTTTTTTTTTTTTAGCAGAACTTAAAATCTTGTAGCACATTTCTTGTGTTATAGTCAGAAGAGAAAAATCATTTTAGTCTCACAGGACTTACACAAAACTAAATCAAACCATTTATTATCTAATGTCTCTTAAAGCTGCTTACAAATGTTTACCTTAAATACTTCAGATACCACTTAAAAATTAAAATTCTGGATTTGTTCAAAAGTAAATACTGGTAACTAATGCTATCTACCATACTAAATACTAAACTACAACACTAAAACTACCATTTTAGAGGTGTTTGAATACACTGAATTGATATTTATGTCTATTACATGTGAGATCACAACTGTCAGGAATTAGCAAAATTATTAAATCAATATTAAAAGGATAAGTGACCCTATTTTTGTAACTCTTTTAGGTATCCTTCTCACAAGGAAAAACTAAACAATACATTAAGTTGGAACTTTTACATAACTTTGAAAATGAGAAATAATTTCAAATCTGCCAAGGCCAGATAATAATAGAAGTCTGAATGTTAGACAATAATAACATTAAATTTACATAAAATTTAAGATAGACAATAGCACTATTTTCAAACAACAGTAAAGAAAACCACAGTTATCTTGTCAGAAATTGTACATAGGAACAAATTTGGGACATGGGATGCATATATAAAGAGAAATAGCCTGTATGTGGATGATTATAAAAACAACTGTCTAAATGTTTAAGCAGTATTATCATCTGGCTTTAGCATAAGTAGCTACTATAAGTACTGCATAGAAAACCAATTTTCTATTTATTATCGCCTTGTCTTAATTTTTATTTATTTATTTTTAACTTATACCAAGTTTAACATGTTCTGTTCAAATTGAAGGACTGGTCCATGAGAATTGATTTTTTAAAAAATACATATGTATCTAGTCTAGTAAATGACATATGGGGGAGGTGAGATGAGAAGGAATTATAATTAGATATAAATAGCAAGGAGAATGAAAAAAATGTTTGTTCCAAAAAAAAAAAAATAAGGAATAACATCTTTGCTAAATGATTTCTCTAGCTCACACTGAGGCTATCTAAAACTGCAGACATTTGGTAAGCCGTTAATAAGGCTCCTGCTTCACCTATATTACTACACCTTAGTTAAGTATATATTGAAATTATTTGTTCACTTATCTTTCTATCACTATTAAACTCTTAATGAACCAGTAAGAATATTATAATCAACGATCTTGTTTTATTTATCTTTACCATAGTCATGAAACCTAGGACAATGCCTAGCATACAGGAGTAAACAAGGTATCTATTTTGTATTTTTTTAACCAACAGACATCCTAATTCCACATTCACAGCTCAGAAAACTTTTAATAACATTGTTGCTGTCAGAATTTTCTTCTAGAAGTTTAACAGTTCTTATGAGAAGTTGTTTTGTTTTTAAAATTTTATGTTTTCATTTCCATGATGATCTAAAATAAAGTTAATATAGACTGAGTCTAGATCATCTGGATGCCACCTTGCTACTTAGTACTCATTATTGCCCTGTGATTTCAATGTTTTTGATGGTTGGACTTAAACAGCAATGCTATTTTAAATTGTTGTAGGGTAATACTAACAGAAGAGAAGCAGAATTAGTTTTACCTTGAAATTATATGACAGCATCCTGAGCACATAGAGGTTTTAAAATAATTCAAATGGAGAAAAGCAGTATAAGAATTTTCACATGGGTTATGATTATAAAAGCACTCCAAACTCACACTACACTTTCTGTACCATATTCACACGGTAAGTGGCAATTTAGTTTCAATAGTATATCACCCATCACATTAATGTTGTTAAGTTTTACTAGTTTGTAACATTGATTTAATTTATAAATCTGTTTTTATTTTATGCTATGTAGGAGTAGACACAAAGAAGTTAATATCAAGTTGTATGTTGTATATACTTAACATTATAAAATATGTCAACAAGAGGGGTTTCATTTCCATTCAAAGAAAACCTATGAATCACTCATGACTGAGAGATATCTTTTCAGAATACCAAAATGAGCTTCAGTACCTTTAAGCACAATGACATTGATTTCTGGGGAGATCCACATACACTTTGACAGATTCCCAAGGGAAGTCCTTGATTCAAAAAATATGAGGAACAAGGCCAGGCGCGGTGGCTCACGCCTGTAATCCTAGCTCTCTGGGAGGCCGAGGCGGGCGGATTGTTTGAGCTCAGGAGTTCGAAACCAGCCTCAGCAAGAGCGAGACCCTGTCTCCACTAAAGAATAGAAAGAAATTAATTGGACAACTAAAAATACATAGAAAAAATTAGCCGGGCATGGTGGCGCATGCCTGTAATCCCAGCTACTCGGGAGGCTGAGGCAGGAGGATCACTTGAGCCCAGGAGTTTGAGGTTGCTGTGAGCTAGGATGACGCCACGGCACTCTAGCCCGGGCAACACAGTGAGACTCTGTCTCAAAAAAAAAAAAAAAAAAATATGAGGAACAAGTTTTAGAATAAGGAATCTGATGACTTCCGTATGCACTGGAAAAACGTTTTCTCCTAATTTCTTACGGTTCAAGGGGCACATGCTATCATTTTAATTTCCTATAATTTGGTGAAAAGCTCATTATCAACTTCCGTTGAGGATTTTATTGCCTTCAACTAGATATATATTCTTTGATCAACTAAACTAAGCACTTATTTTAGTGCTTTATTCTCATTCTGGAGTTCCCATTTATTTTCTATTAATACCTTGTTGGATACACTACCCTTTAAGAGATAAAGAGATGAGAAACTCACAATATTACAGTTATAATCTTTCCTCAGTTTTATTTAATTATTTAAATAATGTTTTGTTATCAATACTCTACAGTTGAGCAGATGACCAATCGATCAATCTTTGATATAAAATTGCCATCTCACATGGTTTATTTAATAGGCTGCATTCTTTTAATAGAAAACCTAGTCCCAATTTTCGTTTCATTACAGGCATTACTGGAATTCCAGTGTCGCCTATGCATCACTGCTTGCAAATGAAGAGTATATTTCTATCTTTCTTGTAAGAAAACTCTCAAAGAATAGGATTACTACTCAATTATCAGGCATAAAAGATTTAGTATCTAACAATGAAACCATTATTACACTTTGCAAGTTCAAAAAGCCATGTATTTTGAAAAGAGGCTATTAATGTTTTAAGAAAATTCATCTTCATACATACTAAAGGGAACGGTTTTTTAAAAGTTAATATCTGTAAATGAAACTTGTACGGATTTTAAAAATGCACTTCATGAAATAAAAAATGTTTAATTAAGAAGTTCAGGGACTGTGGTCTTATTCAAATCTATCACCCTAAACAGTCAAGAGACAAAGTGTACATAAAACAAACCGGTTGTTGACTGCAATTACCTCCTTTTGTCCCTGATTTGCCATATGTAGGGAATAAGAGTTGCTAATTAAATTTTCCTGTTATTTGCATAAGTGACATGAACTTCTTTCTAAAACTGTAGTTTAAGGCGTTTGTAGTTCTTGGATTAAAGAGTACAGATACTGATGAAATTAATAGTATTTAATGGTAGTGTTTCTACTTTCTATTTTGTATATACATTAATAATAAGTGTGACCAATCTCAAAATTGTATTCATTCCATTTTTTGTACTTCTGTTTACTCCCCTTCCATTTGACTTTCTTCTGCCATTCCCTATAAATCAAACTCTATTTTTTTCTAAGATTCCATATAATCCCCAACTCTAAAATTTCTTCCCTGACATCCTACCCCACAGTGAGTTTTCCATTGTCTTCAACTTTTTCCTATACAACCTGGCATTTACCATTTTTGCACAAAGTGTCTTTTTTTCTTATGTGAATATTATCTTTCCTGTTGCCCTACCACTAAACCTAGAAACAAAAGGTGACAACAACTATTTATTGTTATATATACTTTTGGAATTAAAAAGGCTCCTTATACCTACACTCCCACTGTTTCCAATACTTACTTATTTAAACCTTTACAAGATATTTGGTTATAAGTATTTTCACTTATAGGTAAAAGCACAGTAATAATGTAATATTTTTCAGTGACAGTTTTGAGTATCAAAGAACAGTAAGACATAAAGGTGAAGGGGAGCTGGTGTGTGAAGAGATCACATGGCAAAAGAGTGGAAGCAAGAGAATAGGTGCCAGGCTCTTTTTAACAACCAGCTCTCCTGGGAACAAATACAGTGAGAACTCACCCATTACCAAGAGGATAACACTAAGCCACTCATGAAGGATCTGCTCCCATGATCCATTTGGTGCCCCCACCTCTCATTAGGCCCCACCGCCAACACTGGGAATCAAATTTTAACATGAGATTTGGAGGGGTCAAATATCTAAACTACAGCAGGTAGAAAAAAGAAATTTTTGAAATACAGTAACTATTTTCTTATCTCTAACATTATGAGTTCAAGTAACAACTACATAAGCAAAAAAAGGAAGGCATTCTCATCTTCTGGTGGTAAAACAAACAAACAAAACCTAACAGCTAACCTTTAAGGAATGTTTACTAGGTGCTCAATACCAAGCAAATGTCTACCATATCTCAATAAATCCTCACAACACCACCAGGAAAGAGGTTCTATTATTATTTTTATATGCAGAAGAAGAGACAGAGTCAAGTATATTAGGTGACTTACCCAAAGTCACCCAAAGGGGAAAGGGCAAATTAACTCCCAAATTTGACTTTAGAGCCTGACATATTATTAATAACTGCCATACAAGACTGTTCCTCAGACTCTAAAAGAGAATTCATATGTAAAATTAATATGTATATAACTGAAAAACACTCACAAATGAAAACAGGGAGCTGGTGTCTGTACCAAATGAAAAGTTAGTTGTAGGTCCTAAAGCTGGCCTTTCTAATTCTGAATTATCCATCTGTGAGAGAAGTAGTGGCTTTTTTGTCTATCT